ATGCATATATATATATATATATATATATATATAAGCTTTTGCAACATTGGATTTTTTTCTCTACGACAAAAAAGTTAATCCTTCTTTTAATGGAAAAAAAGAATGATTCGTTTAATCATCTGACTTTATCGTTATCAATCATTCATCTATCAGTGTTTCCTATGCTTCTTAAATTTAAAAGTCCAGTGATTCGTTTCATTTTATACCTTTCTTTTTCAATTTAAATTTTATCATATGTTTATCGAAATTAAAAAAATCATTGATTAGTGTAAGAGTAGCATTTTAACAAATTTATTAGTCAATTATAATTGTCCGAATATTCTTAGTTTTGATTTTTTTTTGCTTTTTTTAAATTTCGGTTTTGAACTCAGCAAAAAAACAAAAACAAAAGAAAACTGGACAGAACCAAATGTTAATTGATTTTTGGTTTGAAATTGAAAAGGACATAAAAATTTAAGAAAATAAAAATATCAAATTGGTTTTAAAAAGATAAATTAATTAAATTATCAAATGACTTAATCCTTTTTTTTCAACCATTTCCTCCAAATTTAAATATTTCTTATAGAATATATTTTTTATATTCCTCATCAATATTTCTTATCTTAATATTTCTCATTTTCCATTCTTCATCGATTTTTTTTTCGTTATATCATGCTAAACTTTTATTAGTTTTTGATTTGATGAAAACAACATGTTTAATTTTATTTACTTGTTCATTTTTATTTTTAAATTTAAATAATTCGGATTTCATAAATCTAGGAACATTAATTTAAGTGACAAACAAAATGACAAGAGATAGGAATTTTGAGTCGAAACATATCTCCCAAAACTTTGCTAAAATTCGTTTACAAACAAGCAGTGAGATTCGAAGTAATATTTCTCCCTTATTTAAATTTTTTTCAATTAGTAAAAAGTTTCAATACATTAAAATTTAACTCTAAGTAATGTTACATTTAAATATTATTATTGCAATGATGATCTGATAAAATTACATAAGAAGTTATCCAGTACTACTAACAATAACGCAGGTCAGTAATTACGTGATTGCAAGGCGTGATGCCGTGAAAATCTTTACGCAAAATTAATTATGCAATTTTATTGCATCTTAGATAAAGCTGGCATTAGGAAATCGTTGAATTGCTAGCTTAGTAAACCGAAAAGAATAATAATTGACATACAAAATATGTTGCAGTAAATGGATAAATAAGTTACGGTAAATGCAATAAATGGTCAGATAGAATTTTAGTGAATAAATACATTCATCATCCATTATTTTCAAAAATTTTCCAGACTATTCGAAATATTTTCAGTAAACTGTAAACAAAAATTTCGAATGTTTAAAGTTCTCTGCAAAACAATGATCGAGTTTTATGTGCAACAAAGTTACTGTATTGAGATAGTAACTGCATTTTAAGTGCGATGTATAATCTAGTAAGGTTACTGTATTGGGATGATAATCTGATTAGCAAATGACTGAAGTTCTTGGAATTGATTAGTTTCATCTAGGATTAAAAAATTCATTGATCGTCCTGTTCGGAAGACACTTGCATGTCATCTAAACAAATGGATCAATAACAAATAAAGACATCATCTCCACAATTTGAATGATACAATTTTAGAAAATTTTCCTTATCATAGCTTTTTTTCCCTTCTTTAAATATTTCGATTTTGAAATTGTTTCATCGAAATAATTGTCTTCATCATTTCAGTATTTCATTATTCATTTGAGTACTACAATACAATACTTGAATAATTTATTCATTTAATTCTCCAATTTACTGTGTCGTTATTTCATTGTTATTTGCTTCTTTCTTCTCTTTCTTTTTTTTCTGTTTTTTGTTCATTGATTCAAAAATTTAGCTCTTTCAATTCTTGATAATAATTCAATAATTCTGTCAAATATTCCAGTAGTAATTCAGTCCATTGCTATTATCAATTCAATAATTTCTCTAATTGGATGTCTTAGAATTCTTTCTTCAGTTTAATAAACTAATCAGGTTCTCGAACCAATCAGATTCTTAACCAGTTATAGGGCATTTTTCAGTTCGAAACCATTGTAGTTGAAAATTTCTTTGGAGCGAAATATTTGCATTGTATTGAAGTTATGGTCGTTCATCGTGATTCAATGAGGCTACGGTCGTAGAATCCCTAATCACGGCGTAATTGACGTAAATGGACTTTAAGCTAGGTAAGGGTGCGTATAGGGTATTCGATGACACTTTGGATATGTATATGATGAGCATTTTGGATATATCCTTTTTTAATACTGCTATTGTTCAGTTTCTTTCTTTATCACGAAAAGCTTTTTAGTGTTTACCATCAAATGGGTGAAGGAGGGGAAGTGGCGCAAATTGGTACGTGTAAATGGTTTAATGTCTTGAAGGGTTATGGTTTTATTACACCTGACCAAGGTGGAGATGATGTGTTTGTCCATCAGGCAAGTGAAATTTTCGTTGAAATTCTTCAAAATAATTAAAATATTCGGTAATTTTAAAATAGTTCAGCATGTTTACCGTTCAGATTTTGACTAATTTTATTGCTCGTAGCTTGCTCAAAAATTGGCTTATATGTTTATAATTGTTTATAATTGAAATAATATTCGTTACCGTTCTTTTTCCTGTTGTAGTCTGAGTTAAATATGGATGGTTTCCGAAGTTTGGATGCTGGTGAACGTGTTCGTTTTGTTATCCGGAAACGGTCAGAAGGTAACGAAGCAACGGCTGTTGTAAGTGCTGAACCTGGTGGAAAACTGAAAGGAAGTTCTATCAGACCTCTTGGAAAGAATAAATCACATGTTATAAGGTTGTTGATTCATATTGTTTTTCCCAAATATGCAAACTGATAATATCTAGTATTTAGCATAGTTTAACTTCTTTTTGCTTTGTTCCTAACTTAGTCCCATCTTATTCATTTGTTCCTGTAGTTGCTACAGGCACAATATAGCAAATAATTGATTGATCAGGTAGGTCCTTCTTTTATTCTTTCCCAATTTGATAACCCACACATTTTATGAGCTTAACTTCCCTGTAGGACATAACTTAGTCTGATCAATTTAGAAGTAATTTAACTCTTTTTTTTCTTTTGATTGGCGTTGATTGAAATTTTTGTTCCACTTGTTATGGGTAAGTGTTGCTTTTTTTCACATGTGTGGATTGAGCCAGGATGGCATGAAAGCTTTCATCGAGGTTGAAAGTGTGAGAAGTGAAATATGTACAAAATATTATTAGAGGTTTTTTGGCATATAGGACTTTGTTTTTTCTTTTATCAAAATGTAATCTATTTATACACTTATTTACTTAATAGTTTTAGGTGTTTTAAATGTGGTCATTACGGGAATCATACAGCAGCCAAATGTAAAACACCGGTAGGAACCGAGAAAGCGTGCTATGGATGTCACGCAACCGATCATTTGGTTGCTGATTGTCCACAAAAGATAAACTTTAAGAATGGTAATAAAACAAGGAAAAATGGTGTCGAAGGAAATGATGCAAATGAGAAAGTGGTGAAAGTAGAGGATAATGAAGAACTACAATTGAAGACGGAAAAGGAAAAGGCTGATTTGAACAACGACAAAGAGGATGCCAGTAAGAACAGTAACTGTTGACTTTTTAAATTTTTTAATTTCCGAAATTCTTCCGAGCTGTTTAACATCGTAGAAGGCGTATTACTAAAGGTTTTTTCCTTGTTTCTTCTTTGCTTAAGTCTATTTGTGGTACACACAAATTTTAAAAATTTGAACGTAACAGTTGTTTTGATTTTACGTGTCATCGCTAATTGCAAATCTCTTTCATTTTTTACTTTCTCCCGCATTCCATAATAATTACAGAGCGTTGGTTCAACTTAATTAAGTCTAATTTGCTCTTTTTGTTTCAAATATGTAAGCAGTGGTTGTTTCCTGCAACTTCTATATTAGTATTTCTGGCATTTTTATCTCGATATCGTTTTCATCTCTGCGAATATTCGCTCATTATACTAATCGCGTTGGTTAGTAGAAGTGCCATTTAATTAGAAGCATGCAGTTATCTCTTTCAAACAGGTATTATTTGATATTATTATCCACTTCGAGATTTCAACTTTTTCTGTTGGAAGATTTGGGTTTGATATTGTGGTTAATCACTAGAAATGGTATAATCTTCTACGAAAAATCTTATATTTTGTTTTAAAAAATGTTTTTTTTACGAAATTATAGAAAAGTCGAGACATAAGCATTCCGCTAGATCTGTACTTCTGTTTTATTTACATTCATAGGTGCCTGAATAGTCGCTATTTTTTAATTTTATATCCCACTACAAACTTTATATATATATATCCAAAAGTCCAAATCTCTTTCTCTCTCTGTCTCAGTCGATCATGATTTTGTATTAATTTTTCTAAAGTTATTCTAGCCTTTAATCCATTATTTCACAGTGATTATTGTATACGTTTTTTACCACAGTTTATCATTACTCAGGAATTGTACGTGACCTCACTTTTTTAGCGATTATTTGATTACCTCAGGATGTAGCTTTTCATGCTGCGTCATTACACCTCAGGTTTGAATTGTGTCATATTATAACTCAGGCAGGCTTATTATGTTGTCAGGCCAACTGTGATTTTTACTGTTGATAGTTGAATAAACGGTTTTATCCGCAACTTATGTTGTTATTTTTTAAGTACGGACATGACACATTAATAAGCGCATATGTGGTAACAGTGGGAGACGCGAAGATATTGTACGCTATTACCTGATTCTAGAAAATCCGCAAAACTGGGAGGGGACAACTGCAAGTTGAGCTGACAATCCTTTTCTGCAGGTTACGAAGATTTCCTGGTTCGGTTGAATTATGCGGTGGGATCAGATCATTATTTCATAACACTTTAAACACTTTATAAGGAAATCAATTCGAACAAAAGCATATAGGCTTGAATGTACAAGCTAATGCAGGAAAAAACTTGAAAATAAACAGAGAAGTCATAATTTCGGGAGGGATGTAGTGATAGAAAATCGCGCTAAAAGCTATTTCAGGATGTCACGGAGCTTGGAAATCCGATATTGTTCAAAAAAATTTTGACAAAAAAACAGCACAATGAATTTCATCTCTTACTATAACCGTTTTTATTAGAATTTAAACTGCTTTAGCTCATTTGTCTTATTTTGCGGTCAACTGTCCAATAACATTTATTTTACTATTTCACATAGTAAATCCAAAAATATTGACTGTAACTTCTCGATCACGACTGTCTAGGGATGGAGCTGAGGCATACGCAAGTAGATACATACTCGGATGCCAAGCACATGTAAATGTTTCAGCATTTACTCGAAGTTCGTGTACTCTAAAATATGGAAAATAAAATTTCAGAATCACTTTGTTTTTCGAAAACATTTCGTAATTTAATTGTGGGAGATCTAAGTTATAACTTGTAATTTCAGCAATTTTAAAATCAACAAAAGTGAAAAAAAAAATGAAACCTTGCACCATTCTCCGCCCAACAAATATCAATGAAATGGTCTTCACTTGCACAGGCTATAAGTTGACTATCCGCGCTGAACGAGATTGATCGTAAGGGATAATCCAATCTACAACAAATATAATCCATTCATTCTGCAACCATATTTGATTCTAGATTGAAATATGGAATACGTGTTACTTGTTAATTTAGAGATGAACAAAGAGAAAGATAAACATGAGGAGTGACAAAAAAAACAAATTGCTAATCGTTCCATAATAAGAAGTCAAAATTATAAGTAACATCTCAAAATATATTAAGTAAGCAAAAATTTAACTAATGAATTCAGGGCATTTAAGTAGAAGTAGATGCTCAGAAATGTGTCGTATTTTATAAAACATAAAATTAAGTATAAAACCAAAAAAAACGAAACCTCCCCATATTTGATTCACAGATCAGCTCATTAGCATCCCAAATCGAACAGACAGCATCTGATGCACCGACGGCAAAACGTCGACCGTCCGGTGAAACGGCCAAACAAACGCAAGCAGCTTGAGCAGGATGTGCTTGCAACGTTCGCCGATGTGTCACATCTGGTGTCCTAAAGTTTGACAGCCAATCAAAGACGATGGCAGAAAATCTAACTCTGCACACTAATTTGTAGCAAAAAGTTGCAAAAAAAATGAAAATTTTACCTTACCTATAAATGGAAGAGTAAATTTTCCAAAATGATCGAGAATTGATCGTAAACGCAATATAGTACATCTATTAGGGATTAATATTAAGAAGTGATTAAGAGAGTTAATTATTCCTCAAACAAGCAACCTTATCATTAATAGAAACAGTTTATGAATCTGATAAAGTAATACCTTCATCTTCTCATCAGAAAGTATTGAAAATTTCTAGCATAGTTGTAATTTTAAAAATATCCAAGACTTACGAGAAAATATTTACTTGTCCGCTTCCCATAGCCACAAATAAATATTTTCCAGACGGATCAAACGCAAATTCATTCACTTCATCTTTCAATGATTCAACTTTGATTGTTTTCAAATTTCGACTATCAAGAATACTTAAGGAATCTTCCTTGTCTCCATATGCCAAATATGTACCACATGGTGACCAGGCTACATTCAAATTCTGCGCTATAAATGATAAGAGTGGGTATCTATGAATTATATGATAATTTTTGAAACTTCCTACAATAAGATTCGAAAAGTCTCAGGAAATTCCTAACTTCCTTATTTCTTATACAAGGATAGATATATAAATAACCCAAAAGTACATTGCTGTAGACTTCTTATCCGACTTCTAGAAATGAAACGAATAAATATCCAGTTTGTAACACCGATATATGATAGTTTCCTCAAAATCAAGCAGATTTTTTAATAATTCATTTTCTAGAATAAATATATCTCTTGATAATTTTACGATCTCTCACTTTAACATAGTAAGCTTAAATTAAATAATTATAGGATGCATATATATCAGTTCTTGGTACTAGACAAGTATTTTACCCTTAGTATTTAATCTAGTATGTGTCCGTGCTTGTCGAATATCCCACAGTCGAACAGATTTATCTGTGCTGGCTGAAGCTAGCAAGTATGGATTTGATGGATGAAAAGCAACCTGATCAACTTGTTCATTGTGACCAAAGCCGCGGAAAATTGTTTTCTGCAGTAAAAATAAATATTTCATTTCATTTTTCACTAAATCTATTGTGAATTTAATTATATAAGAAATAAATGAAAATTATTTCATCCTTAAAATCAAACTTTACCTGATGTCTTAATGTTATATCTTTCCTACGTTTTACATATTTACTATTTATAACTCTTAAACAAATATTCTATTATTTAAAAATAAATTTTAAAAAATGTTAAAATAAATTGTTTCAAATGAAAATGTTAGGAATGAGAATTGGAAAGAAACAAAAATCACCATTAAGTTACAGGAACTTCATGGCAATTTTATTAAGTAAGAACTATATAAGGTGATGGGTTTGAACCAACAAAATATCACTACTTTACTGTATTACTTGTTTAACTTATACATTATTTGTAAATACTAACGATTCGAAATGATAAATCAAATGTTATCACTGATACACTTTTTTCCGCTCCTGCAGCAAGACGAGTACCATCACAGTTCCAGGATACAGTAAGAGGTCGCGGCACCTGCAATCTTTGCAACTGTAACACTAAGATTATGAGACAATCTTCAGCTATGAATACTTTTAGTCTTTTTTTTTTTTTTGTAAGCATTCAACAACAAATTAAATAAATAAAAACTGCAAGCTTCTTAGATACTTTGTTAAACAGTAATGCTGAAGTTATAAGAGATGTTATAAGTTATCAAGTTACAACAGACTGGAAGAGATAAGATGGAAAGAGATTAGCATTTAGTGAAAAGTTGAATACATACCTGCATGTCATATGTTTTAACCCGATCATTTTTCTTGAAATGTGAAATAGCATCTTGAAATGTCTGAATTTTTGATGATGATGATGATGATGATGATAATAATAATGCATTTTTCCGCTGTAATGTTGTTGAGGATTGTTCCCGATTTTGTGTACCCATTTCGTACTATGATGACTATAATTCAATTAGATCAAATGTGATAATGTAAAATTAATTGGAAATTATGTATTAAAGAAATGAATAAGACTGATAATGAATAATTTGCCTGTAACCATTAATAAAAAAGGTAATAAATGTGATAAAAGATAATACCAATAAAATTCATCATTACCATAGAAGAACTAATGCATTTGAAAGAGTTCTATTTACTTGAAGCACAGGTATTTAACGATAAGTGAAAAAGCTAAACAAGTATTACTTCGTTGAAAATAACTCCTTTAAATTCAAAAATGAATTGAAGTTTGTCTCAATCAAGTTACAATAAAATGAAACATTCAAATAAATAAAACAAATTAAAAATTTTAGAAAATAAAAACCTATAAAATACATAGGAAAAGGAAACAAAAGGCTTGCGAGTAAAATAACGCGGAAATAACATACGAAATTTGCCAGAATTTATTTAAAATTCAATTAATATATCGTAATTTCAGTTTGGATATTTGTTATCGAATCTAAAATATCGCACAAAAATTTTGTTCCAACACTAGAAGAGAAATGGAATTTAAGTTAGTTGATTTAATATTGGTTAACTGTCAAAATCTAATATTAGTTGGTTGTTAAAATATAATGCCGGCATTTAATATTATTAGAACTTAATATTCAATTTTTAATTTAATGTTAGTAAAATGCTGATTTCGTTAATTTAATATCGCAAATTATTAAAACTTTAATTGTTAATTATGCCAAAAAAATTGTTTTGGCACAAAATTTATACTATCATATTATGAAAACAAATAATACGATTAGATAACAAATGAAATTATATCATCCTTGTCACAAATTAATGATCAGATACAAAAAAAAGAAAAGAAGAAATGATAAGAAATTCTGCTCAGCTTTTTTTTTTTTAATTTCCAATTTAAAAGATTGAAAAGAAAGAAAAGAAAAAGAAGGGGTGAATAAGGTAAATAATAAAGACACATATATAACAGGAAAACATATCCTTATCAGCACTCCTTCTAATCACAACCCAATCAATCAAATCAATCGACCAGTTTGTTCTTTTAATAAATATTACTTAGTACTAAGAAATAAATAAATTTTAATTCAACTACTTCATTTATAATTTTCAGTTCGACTTCAACGAGTTTGAAAATAAATATCTTGAAATGAATTCTGAATTTAATTATAAATTTATAGGAGGTTTTGATTTTTATTTTTATTTAATAGTTGCTTAGTGAAGTAAAAATAAGACTGTGAAAGATTTGAAATTAAAATATATGTATACATATATTGAAAGATTGAAAAGAAAGAAAAGAAAAAGAAGGGGTGAATAAGGTAAATAATAAAGACACATATATAACAGGAAAACATATTGTAATAGTTTAATTAGCTAACTCCAAATTAACTAGCTCAATTAGCCAAAATCAACTTAATTCTCAATTTAAATTAACCCAAATTCATTCAGTTAGCTTATTATTAATCGATCGTTTTTTTTCATTTGTTTTCTTAGAATTTATTTTTTCTGGAGAAATTTATTTTAAAAAAATTAAAAAATAATAATGAATTCCGCCCTATGATTGCCCCATTTTATTGGTATATCAGTTTTGAAAGATGAAAGATCATAACTTTCAATTATGTGAGATGCCTAGAAGGTATGGAAGAAATGAAGAAGTTACTTATTAAAGGAAATAAAAAATTTACTTGGGAAAATTGAAATAGTAAGACTTCGTCAAATTTTAACCCTTAAATGGATAGATGTAAAATGATAGTCTTAATGATAAAATGATAATCAATATTTTTACAAATAAGAGAAAGAATGAAGGGTAAGATTGCGCGATACATCCATTAACTTAATATTTTTTTGCCTTTTTATGGGAAAAAATTCTTTTCGATTAATAGATTAATTGCTATCATTGAAAATAATATTATTACTATTTTACTTAAAATCAATAATCTCAATTAGGCAAAAAAGTAACTATTCTTATCTAATTAGATAAAATATGACCATCCCTATCTAGAATCAATAATTTAAAATCAAGGATTAGTAGTGGTAATTCGATTTAAATTTTATCTTAATAAAAAATTTTATAAAAAATCTTAAGATGAAAGCATTCAAAACTTGTCATTTTGAATATTGCTACTTTTCCATATTTATCTATCGAATAACTCTAATTCCAAAATAAAATTTAAATTTGAAATAAAATTTCAGATCAAAAAAAGGTCGGTGATGTGGTCATGGTTTCATTTTACTGTTAATGATATCTTATTATTTCAGTCATGGAAAATTGATACTACATGGAGTAAGTAAACAGAAATTGAATAATTACTATATATAATCAAATCTATCCCGAATATATTCATATTATCATCTATCATCATTGATAAAGATAAAGCTCTAAGGATAATGATTATTCATCATCCGTTTCTTCCTCTTACGTGTTTTCGGCTTGAATAATAGCCAGAACACGTAACGTACGGAAGGTAAAGAATCCAATCATGAATTTAATCGATGATAATAGATGTAACGAAAAACACAAATCAACATCAAAATGGCAATATTATACTAGGTTTTGGATGACATTTGTCGTAAAGTTTTTTTTTCTCTTGAAATTTTAAACAAAATTAAAAATTTGCACACATCATAACAGGAATGATCATCAGTTGTATTGGGATTTTTCTGCTTGGAATATTCTTTGAAGGAATCAAATTGATACGAAGAAATTTTAACTCAACGAAATCATCATTAACAACAACAGATCAAACAACGTAAGCTAAGTTTACTTACTTATGATATTTTAAGGGAAAGTAAACATTTGTAAGTAAACAATGCTATTAACAAAGTAGAAAAAACGAAAACAAGCAAACAAACAAATATATTTTCAAAATTCTTTTTAATTAACATAAAAATTATGCATAATTCTTCGATGAATTTTTCACCAATAGATTCTTTACTTCTTTCCCTTTCAGCTATTTCAATTTACCTTTAATTTAATTTTGCTTGCTCTAACTCTAGTCTACCTTTACTAATTCTGTTTCTAATTTCATCATGAAATAATACTTCAACCATTATTTTACATACATTAAATAATTCTACGCATATACCTACTATAGATATAGTACTGACTTGCAGTATTGTGTTTCTTAATAGTACTATTTGGCGGTATTGTGAGCACTATTTGGCAACATTCAATTATGAGTTCTATTTGGCGGTATTCAGTTATGTTTGATTTAAATGAATATTTAAAAAAAAAATCTTACTGAAATAAAAATGTCTCAAATATAGCTTTTCTTCCTTCTTAAATCCAAATTTTCTTTTCAGATTTATGCAGACTATCTATCATCAAATACCTCAAATAACCTTATTTGTGATACAACTTATCATCAATTACCTGCTTATGCTAATATTTATGTCTTATTCGGTTTGGTTTAGTACAGTTGTTATTTTGGGTATTACTACTGGATTTTATATCTTTGCATACAAATAATTAATATAATGATTATTAAGTAACAACTCTGCTAATATCATTTTCGTTCATTTATTTGTTCACGCATTAACCTTACAAGAATATATTATCTTCATAATTTGATGCTAGAATAGTTTTGAAATATATTATTTGCTTATGTACTTAATTATTTTCAAACATTTTCCTTTTTATAACAATGATAATGATGATGATGACAATTGCAACAGTGATGGTCATAATAACAATAATAGTAATTAATAATAACAGCAATTGACAAAACTACCGATAATTAATTAACAAAGCTACGGGTAATTAATCGGTAAAATTACTGGCAATTAATTAACAAAACTACCCGGTAATCAATCACCGGGCAAAACTACCAATATTTGGTGAATAAAACAATCAATCAATAACTAATGCACAGGATTATCAATAATTACGCAAGAAAATAATTCAATGGATCTACAATAATTGTAATTTTCAATTACATGAGAAGTTAATTGATTAAGTTAAAAGTAATCATTTAGTGGCGGAATTTAACGAGTAAGTAAATAAGTAAGTAGATAAGTGACCGTGTAAATATCAACGGAATTGCAACAAATATCAGCAGAAACAAAAAGAAAAAAGAGAGAAAAATTCATAATGATAATCCTCTGAACTAAGAAGTAAACATTTAAGAAAAATGAAAAAGGGCAAAGACTGATAAGATTTGAAATATTGAAATGTAGTGATTAAGAGATTCAAAGAAAAAAAAGATAATTATATCATGGGAGTATCAGATACAAAATGCTAATTGGTCAAATCGGTGGTCCGCAAGAGTAGCGGCGCAGTGAGAAGGAAACAGGCGGAGCGTTATTATCACTCTTTGATAAACTAATGCGGTTAAAAGTTTTGATTGAAGTTTATTTTCAAATCAACAGAATTTAGTACTTTTAAACTTTGTGCTTTATGCTACAAATAAAAAAGCCAAAATGGTCACTGGCCATTGGTCAAGAAAAGGTTGGAAATCATCAGTTATAGGTTAATGCTAGCAGGCACGGAGGCGTTTTGCTATTAGATTTATTAGCTTTTTCGCTATGCATAAGCTGGGAAAGGTTTCAGCGTTGGAAGTTTTGCCAAATTTGAGGTCACCCTATGTTCCTTTATCGCTCTCACTCTTTACCCTTAATTTATTTGTCTTTTCTTCCTTCTTTCTATCCATGCTAATAATTATGCAATTCTCTCAGTGTGTATATGACATGTTCGGTACATTTGTTACTAAACATTATAAGTTTAAGGTAAGAAAAAAAGAAAAATCATTTGCATATGAAAAATTGCAACTTTTGTCATTTGAAATTGACATCTTTTCTTCTGTTATGTGACAATCAAATGCCTCAACAAAATGTTTCAATGACTTAGGCTATCTTAAAATGACTTAAACTGCCTTAAAATAACTTAGACCGTCATAAAATGACTTGGATTGCTTAAAAATAATTTAAGTTGTCTTAAAATGACTTACTTAAGTTGCCTTAAAGTGATTTAGACTACTTAAAAGACTCATTCAACGCCAGTTCAAAGGTCAGTTCCTCTTAGTTGGACGTCTTTTACGCGAACAGATGAATTTCGAAACTGTTGAAATAACTTCCTCAGAATTGGATAAGGGCAGTTTTTGGAGATAATTTGTTACGAGACTTGTATTTGTCTTTGTTCCCTTTTCTTTTTGAAGGAAAGGGAGATTTCGGAAAAGACCACTATTTGGTTATCTGACTTATTGATTCCAGGCAAATAATTGTACGAGTAAAGTAAAAGTGTCAAAACATCTGTAGAAATGAATTGCAGCAATTAGTTGTGATTACACTACTGACGAATTTTCGAAATCAAATGTTTTTTTTGAAAAAATGCGAATGATTATTTAGCAGTGTTTTTGTTTCGTATATTAGGTATTTAACGCATTTCTGATGTTGCTTAAATTTAATTGATTTAGATTTCTTATATTTTAATTTGTTTTCATTATTTTAATTTCAGCTTGGTTACATGAGGCGACACTTGGTGTTATAAAATTTGCTCAGCTGCTGGGTAATTATTGGGTATGGCAAGTGAATTTGTAAACTGGGATTGGAAAAAACTTGGTATCAGTTGTTCACAGGTAAATTAATACAATTTATTGGGTGAATAATTCCATCTCTCAAATCAACGATTTAATTTCGCACAAAAAAATTGATTTTCCGAATTTAGTATGAATACTCAATTTTTCAATCTATGCAATCTAAATATATTTAAAGTTTAAGACAAGTAAGTATTGTAACTTATATATGAATACTACACGGATACAACATACTGGAATATATTACCTTGTATAGAGCAAAAATTTAAGATTTAATGCTAATTTTTCCAAATTTTTTAGGTGTTTCTATCGTTTCTTTGCTTTCGCTTTTTGCAATTTATTGTTCGGTGGTACTTATTTGGAACATGTACCTTCAAAACATTCTCATATTTTGGACGGGTTAAAAATAGCAATCATTCAAATTCCCTTGTGGATATCCATAGCAGCCAACCATTGTTGGTATGTTTGAGGATTTGTAGTTATCTTCTTACAACATCTTGGGAAACATTAGTTGAGGCAAATGACATGCAATGAAGTGTTGCTACCGATGACACTAAATTTGGTTATCTCCAGCATAATTGGGAAATCCCATTTTTAATGATTTTAAGTGAATTTAACGAATGGTTACAGGTTGCACCTCCAAACAGACATTGGAGAATTAGCAATGAAGCTGTTTCATTAGGCCATTCGGTAGTATCTGGTTTCTGGGCACTTTATGCAATTATTGTTTATCCAAAATTAATAGAAGATATGGTAAATTATACAAATACTATGGCTCATTATCTGGTAAGTTTTCCTCTTTGTTTCTGTGAGGATTAATAGCGAAAGATGTCTGGTATTCCTACCTGTTTTTTCATCCCTATGCTCTCATTGCATCTATAATCATATTCAAAAAGTGTGGTAAGTCAAAGAAAGCAGAACAGAAAATTACCGGTTAAGGAATCAAACTGAATTTAGTATTTCTTTTTCAACCATAGTAGTTTTGGAATAAGAACAGAACTAATCAGTTTTGTTTACATGCTGCAAAATAATATCTGAGCTGTAATACTAAGTAAGTAATCAATGATGATGTAAATGACAATAAAAAAAATACTGTGATATATTTCCCTTTTCTTTGATGGAAATAACGTCTATATATCGTAGTAGCTGCAATAGCAAGTAAAATAAATTATTAATTTCAAGGCCCAAAAAATCATCTTCCAACCTTTTTGCAAGAAAAATTTGCAATTAATTTCAGTTTGGTATTTTTAATCATGTATTTGTTACAGTTGATAGTTTCAACAGGCTATCTGATACATGACCTTATTGATTTGCTTATCAACGAACAGTCGTTACGGATCATTGAACTACTCTTCCATCATGTCATCGTTCTCATTGCGTTTGGTACCAACTACGCTACCAATAAGTTTTTAGGTTTCTTTCTCTGCTTTATTTAGGATTTCTAATCATTTTCAGAAGGCTTTTTTTCTTTTTATCCTGGTAATTTGACTCTTCGATACGGATGCAACAAAAACAACTGGTGATTATGATAATTGCATTTTTATAAGAATAATTCTTTGTCTTGCAGACAAAAACAATATGTTAAAAATACATCATTATAGATGTGTATACCATTGTTGTATATATCTATCGATATGCTTTCCGCTTCTTTTTCTATTTTATTTTTTTAAAATGAAATTGGAAGGCATGTTACTTCATTAACGTATCATACCAACGAAATAACATGCTTTCCGATCTGTTTTCCCAATTCCAATTTTTTCTTTGAAAAAATGACTGGTGGCTAGTTCTCCGTGGATAGTTCACCATTAACAGGATAATGGATAATTTACCATTGTCGATATTTACTCACCAACTTTAGGGGTAGTTGTTTGTGGACTTTTGATGGAACTTAATAGCATTTTCCTGCATTCACGTTCCATGTTGAATCTCTATCGAGTTGACAAATCTTCGACGCCATTTCGTATCATTGCTCTGTTGAATATTGTTACATTTATTATATTTCGCATGGCTGTTAGTACTTATTTGTTGTACTGGCAAATTACTACGGCCTGGAAAATGGTATGGTATCTCATACTGATCACATTTATTGTCATCGTTTCACTTGCTATCACTAATATCGTCCTCCTCTATAGGTAAGTTTTAAATAGAAATGTTCTTAAATGTCACGGATAGCATTAAAACGTAATCCTCGCTATTTGAAATATATGTAATTTGAAGTTGTTTAAACATATGGTTTATTCTGCTAATCTTCGTCCAGTTTTCTATCGGAAACTCCATCACCCGGTATATTATCTTCCCAGCAACTAATCTTTGCATTCTTTTGAATATTCTTTCTGAATGAATGTGATGTGAAACCTTATTCAATGAAATTATGCTTTATAAAAAGAGATTTTCCAAAAACTTCTTGTGTTTACTTTTTCAAGATTTTTAAGGTTAAATTTCAAGAGATGCTGAAAATTTTCAGGGTTCTGGCTGCTGATGGATTGTTAGGTAAGAAACGACAACGCGAGGTACCAACAAATCCGGTGCAAGTTGTGGCACAAGCTGCAAGGGCAAGTAATGATCGACTTCGTGATGAGGATGAGATTGAAGTTATTGCTTGAGGAAGTTGTGAGTTCTTTCTGAATGGATTATATTAAGTAATTCTCATTTTGCTGTCCGGTTACTTTATCTGTTTTAGACAGTAACTTATTTGTGTTGATTATCGCTAAAGTTCAGCTTTGATAGTAAAATTTTCAGGTGTAAAACTTTCAGCAAGATAGTGCAATTTTTGTGATATCAATCATTTTGTCGTACTCATTATTTTTATACCTATGAAGCTTGAAATGTGTATCCTAATATTACATTTTTTTTTCCTTTTTCATTTTTACTTCCGGGAATTTCGGATTTCCAATCAATTATTTTCATTAAGCAAAATGCAAGTAAAAAAATAGTAACCTTCAAAAAGTTTCTTTTTTGGCTTACGACGGGATGAAGATATGAAATTCAAAAATTGAGGCCAATTTCTAAAATAATTTTAAAGTCAAACGTCCATATAAAAAAACGTTCTTAATGAATTTACATTTTTGATTATTCATTTCATCTTGTTATTCACTTTTTCTTTTCTTTATATACAGTTTGGTGAAGAATGCTGAAGAAAAAATATGGAGTGACTAGGAAGAAAAAAATGTTTGTTGAGAAATAATGAAAACGTTATGAAGCTAAACAGACGTGTTCATTGAAATTTGAACTTGGCAAAATCTTTCTTTTTTTGGTCAGTGATATAAAGAGAGAAGTAATTAATTAACTTGAAATATTATGTTTTTCACGGTATTTAATTCTTACCTTTTATAATATATAGGGAGAAACGATCGTCATGATAACTAAGACATGTTACTCTCATCTCCATGCATTTTCCTACTTGTTCAAAATTGTTGAGCAATACTATGATTGTTGTGTTTACTTGTTTATCGAATTATATACTTAGTTTGGTTGCTATCTTTTTCTGCGATACCTTACAACTTATTCTTTATTCCTTTTTTGAATCTTTGTTTTTTGCTTATTTTTGTCGTTGACTTTCAGAAAATTATTTGCTTAATCGGCTAATAATTCCACATATTCTGCGGATTTAAAACTCTCCCGTCTTAATTTAGCATTCATTTAATGGTGCTTTTCATTCATGTAAGTCTTGAAACTAGGTTACGCTTTCCTTTCTAGTGACAGCGTCGGAGTGATGACTGTCGACTACGCATTCACTGATTTCGTTCGTGCTGAAACGTTTCTTTTTTGCTTTATAACAAAGCCTATCACAAATTTGCTTTGTTGTCTTTTCCTGCTCATCATTTCAAAACTTGATATAGTTTGAACCATTTTCTTCACTTACTCTCTCATAAACTTTCTTGTCGCACTGCTGTCGCCTGAGTTTGAAAAAAATGTAAGATAATACGAAATCTGTATGAGCTTTAATGAGAATATTGGTCAGATAGACATTATTCTGAACAAGATGAAATAAATAATTTATGAATGTTTGAAGAGTTTCCCATCATTTTGATGGGTTAAGACAGTTGTTGAAATTTCAACCAACTATTGTTTCATAAAATATTAACAAGAAATTATGGACGTAACGTAAAAAATGACTGATTCTTAAATAGGGAATTATTAAGTCACTGTTGCCAACTTTGATCTTTCAGTAAACAGCATTCCTCTAGTGCTTTTCCCTAGTTTTTTTCTCCTTTTTTATTAGCAATTTATTCAATTTATGAAGAGAAAGGCATCGGTCATTGGCTAATACCTTAAGCAATAGTTAATGTCGGGCATTTGTTATCCGCTTTTATTATAATCAGGCACACTTTTCAATTCAAAAGTATGTAAGCTTGACTCCAAATAATGTTTTAGTGGTGTTTTCGTGCCGTCCACGTTTTTTTTTTTTTTTTTTCCTCAGTAGTGTTTTAAAGTTTTCTTTCTGTGTTGGATATCGTTTTTCTTTTCCAAACTAAACCAAATATGTCGCACTTTATTAGCTTGAACATCTTTCATTATAACTGTACGTATTTAAAATGTTTACTGGTTTTACAAAACTAGCGGGGTGTCTGAATCATCAACAATTAGATATTTTCATGAATTTAAAACAAAATATATCCAAGTTCATTAATCATACAATCGAATTAAATTTAGAGTGAAATTATTTCGGCCACACACAAATATTCGAGATGGATTTTATTTGCTTTACTCCAAAACATCATATTGAAGTCTTGAAAACCTAAATTCAAGAACAATGGTGGCAGAGTTCTTGAGAGATTGACAAACCAATTGTTCCTGACTCTATATACAGAAGGAAAAAACAATGAGAAGTTAATCACACCTAAAATTGAAAGAGTATAAGTGTTGTCTAAATCTAATGTCCAAACAAGCAATTGCAATTCTTACAAAATTTAGGAAGAAAATATAAAGTTGACTTCAGATATAATCCGCGCCTTCTTGATCAATAAGCTTAAACCAATGGCCGCAACGACAACGTTGCGGTTCCCCTTCATGTAAAATAAAGAGCACTGGGAAAGTTGTGTCTGGCTCACCTGCAACCAAATAATGATACACAGAC